CCATTTCTACATTTCTACTGGCTCCAAACAGATAGCATTTCTTGGTTTACTGTCTGTCACTTCCTGTCTTGTACAGCTACTGGGTTTGCTTCTCAATAACCAGCTGCCAGGGTGCTCTTAAAAATAGCAATGGACTTAACTATAGTAGCAGCAACAGGCCCTGACCAAAAATGCACAAAGGTTTAGAATAAACATTTTCCAAAGAAGGTGTGCAGAAAGCCAGTTCTATGTGGAAACATGCCCACACCCATAATCTTTGGGAAAAATACACACAAGGTGTAAGGTGCCACTGTACCCTGTTAATATAAGTATTATTTTTTAAAAAATCCCCTACATTTGCTGAGGACATGAGGTCAAACCTGTATGCCCAACAGTTGAGAGGACAAAATGGTACCTGTAGAAAACTACATGGAGTTTCCCAACAAAATTCAACTTAGAATTTATTGTGCTATCACTCAGCGGTTGCTTCTCTGGTTGTCTGACCAAGAGAAAGGAAAGCAAACTCTCAGACACAGTGAGCCCCTGTAATCATAGCAGCAGTGTGCTCAGTAGCTATCAGCAGGTGAGCACGTAACATGTGACATCCGCGCTGAGACGTAAATAGCCTTAAAAAGGAGTTAAATTCTGACCCATGCCACAGCATCTGTGAGCCTTGAGCAGACTATGTGGAATAAAATAAGCCAGATACAAAATGCTAACAGTAGCCTGATTGTAGTTATCTGAGGTCAGATCCCAAGAGTCAGTAAAACAATGGTTGCGCAGGATGGAAGAAGTTGTGCCAATGAATCATGCTGATGGTTACACAGTAATGTGACTCTTAACGCCGCTGTATGGGACACTTCAGAATGATTAAAATTGTTATAGTGAGTGAGGTAAAAAATGCCTACAATATTTGATTTTATTGACGTTTATTTTGTACAATATAAAAAGTATTTTAAGTTGTCAGGACTTTACAGGAAAGTACCCGGTACTGGGCCTCTCCTCAGGTTTTCTCATTCACATCTTAGAACCATTCTGTGAGGTGAGCCATTGTGCCAGCGTAGAGAAGAGCAGAGTCAGGCACGAATGGACGCATGCCAGCCTCATCGTGAATGGTGGTGCTGGACACAGTGCTGACTCAGGCATGGGAGCCCATGCTTGTGTCTGTGTGCTTACGGCTTCGCATGTCTGTGGAAGTGTCAGAGTGGCTGGGTCAGCTCCCTGGCCAAGGCCTTCAGTGACCTGGCCAAATTCGCCTCTGTTGGCCTCTCTGACTCCCTGCCCACCTCTCGCCGGCCTTCTCCTCTTCCTAACTTTCCAGAAAGACTGGGCTTTAAGGCCCCCAAGCTGTCATGCATCTTGCTACTTCTGTTCTGAACATGCTAGCTCTAGCTGAAGCCCTGAGAATCTCCACTCAGCCTTCCCTAGCTGCCCACCCTCCTGCTCTCTTGGAGAGGGTACCTGTGGCCCTCTAGCTCCCATTCTACACCATTCCACCCTGCACCTCCTATACCATCTCTAGCAGCCAGTTGTCTTTCTCTGCCCTGGGATGGCATTTGAATTAGAGGCTCATTGTTGTAGTCCAGTGTTAGACAGAGGGAGCACTTTAAACTCCTAACAGGCAGAAAGAGCTGTGAAAACAAGGAAAGGTGCAGCCCAGGAACTCAGGGTTACTTCCACGGTGTATGATTGATGTGGGATCTAAAACAGCCTGAATGGAGAAATCGTAGGCTCCATGAAGTACAGGTGTGTGTTAGTATGAGGCCAGAGCCAGAAAAAGTACAGAATTCAAAGTGAAGCCTTTCACTACTTAATAATGAGTATTTAATTTAGTTATTTTATGTCATAGGACTTGTTTGAAAAATAAAATTTATAATCCAATTCAATTGTAACTATTTTAGCTTAGTTTCCTCAGGCTAATATGGTTTCTCAATATTTTGTTTTCTTAACGAGGTGCTCAGTTCAGCAGGCCAATAATACTATGAAGCTGTCTTTAGCAAGCTTTCCAGACAGATGCAGGGCCTCTGTCTGTGATGTCTGCCACCACCTAGTGGTCCTTTGGGGAATTACCTTCTGTGGTGTTCCTTCACGTGGCTGTTTATGTACACAAGATATACATTCGTAGTGGTGAACAGAGGTGGACGCTTAGAGGGCTTGCTTTCTTGTGTTACCTTTATATTATATGACTGTTCAATCTGTAAAACAGTAAGATTATTGCAGAAGGTGATGTGCTGGAACTGCTGTCTAGCGCAGGCTCTGGCGGTGCTGAGAGTGAGCAGCAGGCTTGCCCACAGAGACTGGGCGGCCTTGCTTGCTTGTTTCCCAGCCCCCAGACTACTACCTGACACCTGATAGGTTTCTGTCTGGTGAAGGGATGGATTAAAGTAGAGGAAATTGAAGGGAGTGTAGTAAAAATGTTTCCTCCTTTTCTTATTAAGGAACAACTCGAAATTTAGATTGGGCATTAAGAAATCGGCACGTCTCGGCAGATGCGTTGCTGGAACGGTCGCTGTGCTTTGCTCACAAGCTCACTTTCCGGGCTAACAACAGCCTGCTTGCTTGTGTGTTCCATGCTCAGGGGAAGAAGGCACAGTCCGCAGGGGGCGAGCGAAGGTGCTGGCCGTGGTCAGAGAGCAGCAGTAAATGAAGTGGGATGCTTAGGTCGGGCAGGTCTTTACCCCGTAGAAAGCCTGGTTTGAAGTGCAGATGAGTTTGGGGCTGAAGTTGTGTAGTTCAGAGGTATAGCACTTGTCTACACTGCGTGGGAAAACTAGATTTGATCCTGGTGCGGTGGACAGACGGGTGGGTGGATGAATACCTCAAGTTGTGTAATATTCTGTGCAAGTCGAGATAAAAGCACTAAAATACCCGAGTACTCGTGCCCTTGCTTGAGAATGAGCCTTGCCTTATTCTTGTCACCAGATATGACTATTAGAATCCTTTAGCCCTCAGAAGGACTCTAAACGAGGCGGTCACCCCTGGTATAGGGAACGTATTCAATGCAGTTAAAACTCATTCCCAGGGTTATTAATTAATAGATGTTTTAAGCTCAATGGAGGTGTGTGTAACTTTCCATACTGTAAATAGATTCATCTTTTGTTAATGTGTAGTTAAATGAAGTTCTTCCTCACCAAGCTTTCCAGATAGACACAGGGCCTCTGTCTGTGATATCTACCACCACCTAGTGGTCCCTTGGGGAATTACCATGATTTTATGGCTAGTGGTAATTTTAGGCCATTTTCTTACACCAATAAACTTTCCAGGCCTGGTTGCCCTCAGTCTCCCCCCCCCCCCCAACCCACACTGTACATCTTGCCCTAACGTGGCTGTTGTTCTTCCTGCCTTGACACTTTGTCTCCTGGACATTGGCTAGCAGAGGTCGTGCTGTGTGGTTTCTGCATTCAGCTCCCTGTTCAGTGTGAAGTCTTAGGAAATGGTAATACTCCAGCAAGCGTCTCCTTGTTCCTTTTGCCATGTGACACTGCACCGCTTATTAGCCAGTGGCACCTCAAGTTTGTCAGTTTGAGCAGTGTAAGTAGTCAAATTGTGAGCAGCCCCATATGTGTTTGGAAATTTAAAATTTATTATTTTTCTTGGATGGATTTTTGAAAGATTTACTGAAATATTTCTAGAACGTTTCATGTGCTGCTCTTTGAATTCCTTCATTTCTTATGCTCTTCAAGTAGTGGATATTGGCTTGATTCTCTCTGAATCCTTGTGATGCTGTTTGCTCATTTTTGGGTTTGGTAGTCTAACAAGATGGAAGATGGCCCAGTGTGCTTTATCGTACGTGTCCCTCGTGATCCTGACATGTTTTCCTCAGTCCTGGTCCACATGGTGGATATGTCTTTTCACTTCATGTGTTTTTTCATATTTTCAATTAAATAATTTGATAATCCCATACATTTATATAATATAATCTGACCACATTCACCCCACCCCGCCCCCAGTCTCCTGCCTTTTTCCTTGGTTCTGTGACCTACTGGTTTTAACCAGAGTCCTCATGAGCACAGGTGTGAAGCTGTCTGCTGGAGTACGGAGAACTCACCAGTGGCCACACTACTCAAGACAATGACTTCCCCAGGAGTCACCAACACTCAGTAGCTCTCCAGGGAGGAGTAGGGCCTGTTGAGCCCTCCCCTTTATCCCCATTGATCTCCTAGTCTTGTGCAAGCAGCTGCAGCTGCTGTGAGTTCATTATCCAATACCACATCATATCCATCAGACAGTGGTTCACAGCCTCTGCGCTGTCCTGGGTCTTGCAATGCTTCCACCCTTCCCCCATGGGAAGTGATGTGGAGGTGATGTGGATGCCCGTGGAGGTGACATGGATGTCCTGGTTAAGACCCATCGCTCAGCACTTGAAGGGGTGAGGTCGATCGGTAGTTAAAAATTAACCAGACTAGCTTAATATAAAAGATATAGCTTTAATAAACAGAAGAAAGGAAAACTTACACCAGAGTCCCAACGATCCGAGAACACAGGGGCAAAGAGAGAAGTGGCAAGCGGCAAGCGCACTTCGATCTTTTATTTGTCTTGTGTGGCCCCAGGGGGACACATCCTAAGCAGAATGTGATTGGCTGAGGTTCCCCATCAAGCACTTACTATTCTCAGCACCCTGAGCAGCTGTGAGATTCTCCATTTACCTCTGCTGACGGCGGAAGGGAGCTTCTCTGACCAAGGCTGAAGCCTTTCTCTGGGCCAGCAGGCTTCAGGCCTACTGCCATGTGGTGCCTGGCCTGTGCTGTTTTTTGAGATTATGCTTTAATGTCAGTTCAGCCTAGTTTACGGGTTTCCTCTCTTAGGATGGTGTGTTTGTAGACACGTTGAAGGTCTCTTTGTCCTCACTCTGGGTCATAAAGAGTTTTCTGTGGTTTCTATCTAGAAGTTTCAATTAAAATGTGGGTATTTTTGTTTGGTTAGTTTTGCATTTTTTAGGATTATAGTATATTCTAATTACTTTTCATATGCAGAGGAAATGAAGGACTCCACGCACATGCTCTTGATGTTGGCTGTCTGTCCATTTGTCTTTTAATCACTTAGTAAAAGAGTGACTCCCACTAAACTCACTCGCCATTTGTTAAAAGTCATTTGCTGACGTGTGCTAAGTCAGTTATTGTTTGACTCCTTTGGGATTGGGTTTAACAGATTCTCTTTCTACTTTTTAAAAAGAGTCACTTATTTTTGCTTGGCTGACTCCAGACCTCTCTTTTGGTCTGATATGGGTGTTCAAAATTGCAGCTTCTTCTAGGCCTTGCTTACTAGTATCCCATGCATTCTGCCCTGCTGTGGTCCTTGTTTGGTTGGTGACAAGGCCTCTGTGTAGATCCTTATTCACACTTCTTCAACCTATTAGATTATGAATTGATGGCTCTCAAAAAAAAAAGCGGAAAATTTGGCCAGTATATTCTTGATCCCATCATCCACATACTGTGGACGATGCACATATTGGTGTTACCTGGCCAGTGTCTGTCCCTACTCAGCATCCTGTGTTCTTTCTCTGCTGTGCAGATCAGATACTGTCTGTCAGTCCCTGCTGTAGCCAAATGCCCCTGCTACCTGCGCCTGTTTCCCGAATTTCTTCTCACAGATGCTCCCAGCTCTGCAGCTTCCCCATTCCAGGACTTGCTTTTTCAGTCTCTTCATTTTTAATATTTTTCTTGACAATCTCTGGCTGTCTTTTCTCATGATTTTCTTTTCTTTCTTAAGTTGATTCTGTGTATCCTGTGGATGTATTTATTACTGCTGTTTTGATGTTTCCCTGGTCATAAGCAGCATCTAGAGACACACGGAGGGCTTGTTTTGACTTGTCTGTTTTTTCAGAAGGATCACATTGTGCTGTTGTGTTTTTTTTAAATAATACTTCCGATAATTTCTGTTGCATCTTGTTTCCTGTATAGTGTAGCAGTTCTGAACTTGGATTTTTTTCTCTCTCAAAAGGATGCCATTGCTCACTTAGTAAGTTAGTTCAACATGAAATTGCACTCTGTATGGACTTATGCTACATCTGTTTTATGTGTTTTGTTTTTCTTTTTTTGAAAAACTTGACTTTTAAACTTTACCAAATTTTAAGAAAATATTTACTTATTCTTTGAAGACTTCCTGTATGTATAAGATGTATCTGCACTCCCTCGTTCTAGGTCCCTGTAAGCACCTCCAGTGCATCTGCTTTGCAACTTGGCGTTCTCTTTTGTCTTTAACCCACTGAGTCCAGTCAGTGCTGTCTATATGTGCAGGGCGTTGGGGTGTGGGGCCATTCCATCGGGGCATGGACAGCCTACCAATGGTCAATCCTAAAGAGTGACTCTCCTGCCCCAGCAGCCATCAGCTGCCAACACTGCTCCTCTAGGGCAGGCCCATAGGTGCCCCTCCGCCCTCCACCCTGGTACTTTTCACTTGTGTGATCTTGTGCAGGTCACAGCAGTGCTAGGAGTTCATGTGTGTGAAATGTCATGCTAGTGGACAGAATTTCACACCACCCCTCCCCATCCTCTGGCTCTTACATTCTTTCCCTTTGAAGCCTCACTTCCCGGAAGTCGCTGCACTCTGCCGTGCTTAGTGGTATCAGACACTAGACAGAAGTCAGGCTCAAGATCCTGGTCTAGGCCTCTCTCCTCTGCCAAATGGCAGAGTGGAACTGTATGTAGAAGACCCAAGACATCACACTGGTTCATGCCGTTGGCCAGGAGGCTGTCAATTGAGCATGAGAGCAGGAATGTGCAGACTGGACATCCTTCTGAGCCCTGCTACTCTATTGAAAAGTAGTTAGCTACTCAGAGTCTCAATTGAATACAGAAAACAATTGGTGGGCTGGATGTGAAGCCTCACCACTTAGCCTTTACCTAGTCAGTCAGAATTCACCTGAAATGGTTAACGCTTGTGAGGTTACATGTGAGGCACAACCTTAAGCTCCTCTGTGCCATGCGTGTTCTCTGCCTTACTGAGTAGACATCTCTAAGGACAGCAGGCCCTTGCGAGCATATCATCTCACACTTACTGCGGCCCATGAGGCTCTGCCTCCTTTCCTAAGTCTTACTTTTCTCACTTTCCTTCTTAGACTCCCTCCGTGATTATCAGAATGCTACATACTTCCATAAAAACGCAAAGCTGCCCTGACCATCAAACTACAAGCCATGTCAGCATTCAGAGCTCATGGTGTTCTCTTCTAGCTGTGTGTGTAATTTTACACCACTCTGTCTCTCTGTCCTACAGTAAAAGCAAGATTCTGTTTGTGGAGCTATGAGTTAAAAATGAGTTACTATCATTTTACTGTTTACATTTTGAAATATTCAAAAATATGTGAGTGTTATATGGTTATTTTCTATTTTTTCTCATTTGTATATATACATTTGGCTTTTAAGTTTTGCCATATTCAAGCTTAGAATGTGCAAACTTTATTAACTATATGTTATGAATTTGCTTTTGCAATAATGTTCTTGTTATAAATTACATATAGTTTTAAGTGAGCACAAGTTATTTCACTGAAATATAACTCAGGCAGGTAGCTCTGATTTCTGATCTTTAGAGAAAAAGTCTTCAGGATAAATAGTATTTTACTTAGTATAGATCCAAAGGAAGGAATTTCACAACTAGGCTGCTTGCTCAGTTGTTGAAAACCCTAAGGCTAAAATCCGTCTGTTCAGAAGAGCTGCTCAGTAGTCCACGGACACACGACCGCCTGGCCGCACTTCTAAGCATTAGGAGCTGTCATTGTGCCCGCTTTATTCAACCTGTGCAGTGGTTTTTAAAAACACCTAGATTAAATATTATTTACACGTAAGAATTCATAGACAGAGAGATGCCTCGCTGGCTGCCATTTCAGAGGACCTGGATTCAATTCCCAGCACCCACCGAGCAGCTCACAACCTTCTGTAACTCCAGTTCTCAGAGAATAAATACCTTGTTCAGGCATGTGGGTGCTGCACAGACATATATGCAGATGAAACCCCTGTACATATAAAATAATATTTAAAGGATACACGCAGATCCTAACCAAGAGGGAGATGAAGACTAATGACCGATAATAATTCTTGGTGTGTTAGTTCTTCTGACGAGTACGAAAGTGAATCTCTTTCACCAAACTACAGGTATAGGTGGTGTTTGAAGTTTCCTCCTACAGAACCTAAGGTCAAACTTTAAAATGGCAATTTATTAATCTCAGTCTCTTGAGGATTAAGTATGTATCTTTTACATAGAATTTTATGGCTTTATGTGTACATTACAGTGAAGAAATTTGTAATGCTAATACGAGACCCTGATTTTCCTTTTCTTTCCTACCTCCTAGGATCTGAAGAAGAAGCTGAGGAAAAACAGGACAGCGAGAAACCACTTTTAGAACTATGAGTTCTGCTCTATGAAGTAAGCGTTCATAAGTGAAATTGTTCCAGCAAAGTGTTTGAGTGTGGGTATTTCCGTTGGATGGATTTACAGGAAGTGTCTCGGAGTATGCAGCCACGCAGGGCCAGGCTTGTTCTGCTTGTGCGTGTGTAACAGCTGCACTTTACTCACGCAGAGGCCTTCACACTCTGTGTTGTGACTGCATAGTTTGAGAGATCCTCAGAGACCCACATTTCTAAGAAAATGAGCATTGGCTTAGCCAGCATGTCAGCGCCGGGTGCTGGCTTAATGCAGACAACCACTTAATAGTGTCTTCAGGTCCGCTGTCCTGTGACCTATGGGATTGCTGTTACCTCCATGTCACACTATAGGGTGGAGAGCGTGGGTGAGGAGCTCGTCTGCAGTGGTACAGCATAAAGTGGGGACCTGAACTCTAGTCCACCTACTTGTACCCTGGAGACTTGTGCAGTCTCCTACAGAGATACATCTCAAAGGTGTTAGTGCTTCTGATAGGAAATCTGTGAGCTCCTGCCTGGACATTGGTGAGTGTCATGTCCACATCTGGCCTGCAAGGACTGTAAGCAGCCAGCGAAAGGCAGCAGCCCTTCTGGCCGTAGCCACCAGGGAAGAAGCAGACTGATTCTCAAAGTAAGGGCAGCAGAGAGGTTGCTGGCTCAGGCCGTACGGCAGCAGACAAGCCCTGTGTCCCTGTCAGTGTCAGCACACAGCACAGCACAGCAGCTGGACACACAGGCAATAGTCAGCCTTTTGTGAAACCTTTACATTAAGCCCTGTGTCGTCATGTCGTTGTCCTTTCTGTGTCTGTCACCCTCAGTACAGACTCAGGAAACTGGTAGGCAGCACTTGGGTCCCATCACTGCTCAATATTTGTCTCTTCTCTCTCCCAAGTGTGAAGAACCCTCACTGCAAGCAGTCCAAGGACAGCAGGTGGAGATGGGGTTCCCTTGACAGTGCAATGCGGATCTGCTCACTGCTGTTGTGATGAGCTCATGGATTTATTTATGGCGATACCTCATGGACAGTGCTCCACCTCCACTCACATCATCCCTGCCTGTGACCGCTGGGTCGTGCTGTGCGCCTGCTCTCTTCTGAGTCTCGGTCTGACCTGATAATGAATAACTCAGTCTTGTGCTGCATCCGAATCAAAGGACTGCTTAATATATCAAAATAACGATTTTGTAGTAAGTGAGATACCTTTTTATTTCAATTCACAGGATGTATTTTTTTTTGTTTCATGTCTCAGATTTCTTTTGTATTTCTTTTTTAACTCCTTACATTTCACTTGTGTTTTTAAACTCATGCACATGTGCTCTTTATACAGTTTTAAAATAATAAATCCAACATACGAAATTGACTGTTTTGTTTTGTCTATAGTATATATTTGGCCAGGAGTGGTAGGGTTACGAGAGGAAGAAGGTGAGGCTTTGGGGGCATAGAAACCACTGTCCTGTGTCTTGTGTGATCCTACTGGAATATCTTATTCTGAGATAGGGGTCTGATAGTCGACACACACGGCTACCTGCAAAGGGCATGGATGCCTTTGCTGTCACTTCTCCTGGATGTTTACTTAGCTTGGATTAATATGAGTTAATTTACATTATCAGTTGTTTTTCCAGTTTTACTTTCAACTTCCCAGAGGGGCAGACCGTGAGTCTCCATCACTGGCGTTTCCTCCTAGGAAAGTTAACTGCATGCCCCGGTGATGCTGAAGCTTGGGTGGAAACAGATTGGAACTACACTGTTCTAAGAGCATGCCCACCTCAGCAGTGCCACGAGGAGTCTGGCAGGGAGTCTGGGGTACAAGCAAGAAGGGTCCTCTGGGTCTGTTCTTAGGACAGGACCTCAGGAATTTGATGGAACAAACTCGATGATAATTTCTGTGTCAGGCGTGGAGCAGTATATGCTTCTAGCTATAAGTCAGTATGGATTACACCCCTAGAGTACTGGCAGGAGCCAGTAGATGTGGGCCGTCCTCTCCTGGGAACAGTGCAGCCATGTGAAGAGGCCGACTGATGAGACACGAGTGGGCAGTATATGTATGTGACTGTGAAATCGGAGACTAAGAGATCAGACACTGAGATCCTGGAGAGGGCATCTCAGCTGTAGTCATGCTTCCTCTGCGGCTTGCGTGTCCACTCTGCATTCATCCCGTTTGTTCTCTGGCCTCTTGTTACTGCAAACTGATATCCTACGGTTGGTCTTGCTCTGATGCTTCTGGTACCACACACAGGTAGGCGCATGGGTCTGCATACACACACACACACACACACACACACACACACACACACACACACACATACACACATACACACACACACCCCACACGCATGCTCGCACACACACACACACACCCCACACACATGCTCGCACACACACACACCACACGCATGCTCGCACACACACACACACCACACGCATGCTCGCACACACGCACGCACGCACATACACACACATACACACACACACACACACGCACGCACGCATGCTCACACACACTTGGGGAGGATGACAGTTTCAGTAGCACTGAGTTGACTTCCATTCCTTCGTTCATAAAGCACATTACTGTGGCCCACATCTTCATCAACCAGAATCAGAATGCACATCTGCACCTTCTGTATTCTGACTAAAATAGACTAAAGCATCAGTATCTGTAAATGAGGGGCCTCAGACCCCCAAAAGGAGGCTAAGCTGGTGTTGGAGCCACAGAGAATTGTCGGTGTTCCTCAGCGCACTCAAGGGGATGATCAGAGACCTATTGTATGGTCCTGGGCATCAGATTCCAACGAAGTGAATGAGCGCTGACTCTGCACCCCAGGAGGCTTGCTGCCCTTGGTGTGGCTCTTCAGTTCTACAGCCAGCCATCTCCCACACAGCGAGACTAGTTTTGTGTTTTGGTTTTTATTTTTTTCCACTAGCCATGGCCTTTTGAAACGGAACAGAACTGACTGTGGTTTAACTGCCCGTATTTTCTCTTCTAACACCCTAGCTACCCTTTGTGCTGCCCCAGTCAGTGAGGGTGGGTTTGACTTTGAGCATTTTCCAGGAAGCAACCACATTGACCAAGCAGGTAGACAAAGATGCCTGAGAAAATGAAGCCATCAGCCACAGAGCAGCAGCCTGCACACCATCAACCTCCAGTGTCCCCCCACCCCTGCACCTGGCATTCTTTCTGTACGGCTGGGAGGTCTGAGACCACAGGAGGCACTGCCTGTGTCCTGGCTACCTACCGTCTCACAAAGCGGCTGCCGGTTGTCAGCTTCCAGTCTCTGCATCTGCTCTTCCACTGCAGATACTGTTCCATGTCTGTAAAGCGGGGCGAGGAGCTCAACCTGGAAAGGACTGATCAACTCAGGACTATCGAGGAGTTGAACAAAATGCAATTTATGCCCTGGCAGTGCTGAAGCATGCATGGGCAGCCTGTATATGGAGGTTCTGTTGAACTTGTCCATACTGGGTTTCATGGTCTAAATTGATGAGGACGACTAAGCAGGTCTCTTCCTCCATCAAGGAGTTAACGTAATTTAAATCTAATCTCTGAATCTTGTTCATGTATTGTTCCAAATGTGTGGTAGCTCTGTGTGCTTTCCAACAGAACCAGCTTTGTAGACTCACGCTGATTGTAAACAATCTTTCCAATATGAAAGTTAGATATCATTTTTATTCAAATGTAGAGGTTCTAACTTTGCATGTGCCCATTAGAAAAGGTGTGGGATGCACACTGAGCTTCCATCCAGCTACCGCATGGAAAACATTCTGTTTAGTATCTCTGCTTACAGAAATGCAGGCAGGGCTAACAGGTGCCAGGCCTGCTGGTATTCCTGCATGGTAGGGTGGTAGAGAATGGGAAAAGGACCTGAGTAGATACATGTAACAGACCCATAAACAGGACATAAACAGACCTCAACCAGATGAGATGTTTGTCTTCAGAAAAAAATCAATTGTCACAGTGAGACCTTGTTTTCTACTTGGAAGGTTAGCATAGGTCAAATCTCACAAGCCTCTTATGGATGTTCACGTACACCTGGTCTCTAGAGCTAAGTGGGCTGGGTGTTTATGAAGGGTGACTGGGAAGATTTTCTCAGTGTCCCTAGAGAACATGGATAAGACTCTTGGTCTATGATTGCACGTATGTGCAGCTGTGTGCATGTCCACATGGAGACAACCCCAGGTGTTGACTCTCAGGCACTGTCTACCTTGTCTATTAAGACTGGGACTCTCAGAGGGCTGGAAGTAGGCTAGACTGACTAGCCAGTGAGCACTAAGACTATGTGTGTCCCAGGTTCCTCAGCCGAGATTACAAGCAATGCGTCACCCTTCCTGGATTCTTACGAGGACTCTAGGGATTGCCCTTGGCCTTCCTCACTGTGAATTTTCTTTGTGAAAAAAAGAAATACAAACTGATAGCCATTAGTACTGGAGAAAGTTCTGGGGTGTGTTGCCTAAAAGTTTTCACTTTGATTTGTAATTAGAACATGGAGTTTCTAAGATCCTTATATTTATAGTTGAGAGGCATTTGGAGTACTGCTTCCCCGTGCACAATGGTGTGTATAGAAAAACATAAAGACATGTGACAACCAGGTTTTCCCAGCTGTGAGGTGGGTGCAGAGCATTCAGCTGTTTCTTAAATTCTTGTCTTTGGGGACTAGACACTGGATAATTAATTGTACATAAAATATTCGAAGTTCTGCAAGAAAGGCTACTACTAAGACCAGGCTTTCTGTGTGTGGTACTATATCAATCTTCCTTTTCTACTGAGTGCACATGGGTGCAAACTTTCGATTCTGAATTTATTTTATCCCATCATGAGCTATTCAATACAGCAGCATGTTTGGTGGACAGGAAGTCTGTGTGGGAGTTGGCCTTGCTTGGACAACCCAGTGACAGGTTGGCCTTTAGCTCTGTAATTGTAAGAACAACATACAACCAGGAGAGCAAAGGTAGACAGACAACTGATGTGGAATTTCCCTCTGTATGCTGTGATTACCATTAATGAATAAAGGAACTGCTTTGGACCTATAGCAGAGTTATAGGGGAACAGAGCTAGTTGGCGAAAGCTAAACTGAATGCTGGGAGAAAGAAGGGTAGAGTCAATGAGAAGCCATGGAGCCACCGCCAGAGACAGCTGCTGGGAACTTTCTGGTAAGCCACTGCCACATGACAATACACAGATTAATAGAAATGGGTTAAATTAAGATGTAAGAGTTAGCCAATAAGAAGTTAGAACTAATGGGCCCAGCCGTGGTTTAAATAATATGGTTTCTGTGTGATTATTTTGAGGCTAAGCAGCCGGGAACCAACAAGCGGCCTCCCTCCTTACAACAGACAGTTCTATTGAGCAGTTCCTAGTCTGGTGAGGAAGGTTCTCCTGAGGAATACCTTGTTTCTGCTCCATAACCAAATGCTTTTGAAGGAAATAGTTGGGCTACTGAAGCTAGGCAGTCTGGGCTCAAACCTTGCTGCAGTTTTTATTAGCTGCTTAGCTATAGGAAAATTTCTACCCATCTCTGCCTCACTTTCTCAGCTTCTCTCTGAAGTTTGGGCCGCTCTCCTGGGAACAGTGTGAGGACTGAGAAGCATGATACTGCGAAACAGGGACGGAGCTGACCACATTGCTCACATCCTACTAGGCCTTCTCCTGTTTCCATGGGAATGGCTTAAGCCAAATGACCCAGGCCTAGTTTTCCCTGGGAGAACAATCATTTGGGCCGCTCCACTTGGCTGCAGCTCCAGAATATTGTCCCAGCCACCATCTTAGGGATGAACTTAGGAATATAGTTTTGGACCTTGTTATGAACAAGCATTGCATGTCATAACTAGATTGTTGTGTAACTTTGCACCTTGAACCTTCAGTCACTGTCACAAATAAAAGCACACACCATATCAAAGGTAGAAATGATTTTTTATTGTATTTAGCAGGCAAAGCACAGAGTTCACGTTCAAATAAGGTTCTTCAGAGCTTATGATGTAGAGGTTTTTAGGGCATTATCTGGTTGAAGGACATGAAGTGGGCTGGCTAAAAGTTGCAGTTTGTCTACATTGGGCCTGTGATGCTTTAGGATGTTGGGTAGGGGTGGGGGGCACTGGGCACTGAGAGAAGATGGGTCAGGATGGCTGGTTGCTCCCATGGGCTACTGTTAGTTGTAGAGTAAAGTCGATCAGTTTCCTCCCTGTTTTGAAAACATCTGTATAGTAAGGATTCTAAATTCCTCATATGTGACCTTGAATGATCACATGTGAGCTCAAAGCAGCAAGCACATCCAGCTAGACCCTCAGAAGACATTGAGGGTTAGAAAAAAGGATGCAAACAACATGACCCTCCTGTTGCATCATCCATCATGAACTTTGGCCATCACGATGCGCTGCTGCCCTTCTACACAGACAGAAGATAAGGAAGACCAAGTGGACCACACTCTTGGAGAACAGGCTGAGGTAGGTGTAGAATGCCAAGGTGTTGGTAACTTGAAGCTGCAGCTGATCTAAGAGAATACTGTAGTTAGTATTCTAGTTAGTTAGTTCCATCTGCTCTTTTTGACAGAATAGCACAGATAGGTGACTTTTTTTTTCTGGTGACTTTAGTTGAGTGATAATCAATACCTAGCACTCTTACCAGAACCAGCAAGAGGACTTATCTTGAAAGTCAGATTGATAACAACCCCTGATAAGTTCATTTATAATCTTACTACAACTGAAAAGAGAAATTGCACTTGGGGTAGATGGATCCTTTTGAAGGTTAAATGGGGAATAAGTATAGAATTCTTCACTTTCAGTGTTTCTAAATAAAGCAAATAATATCCATCACGTACAAAGAAAATTATAAACAATATTCTGACCTCTTTGCCCATGAAACTTTTAATCTTTTCAATAAGTTGATAGCTATTGGTGAAGGAATTACTTTCATTTCCATTTGCAGAGGGCACAGAAAGGTAGTTTGCCTAATAGGTACCGAGTAAGCACAGCTGAAGTCTTAGTCCACAGAAGTGACTTTAAAGAACTCTTTTACATCTCCAAGTGTAACTATCACCCCAGACAGAAAATGGAAGCATGAACACAGAGCAGAGCTTCTGCAGCATTGTGGATGCAGCCTGCAGTGCTATCAGGAGGCGCTGCTCATGGGAAAGCAATGGCAGCACAGCCGGGTACATGGGAGGTTCTAGACGAGGGCACTTCAGAAAAGCCTGAAGGAACTTGTCAATCCAGACTTCCCAAGACTCTCATCGGTCTCTCTCAAGGTTCTCATTAGTTTATAATGGGTAATTGGAACCAAAATATTTTTGCAGTTTTAGAAGAAATATGTACTGTCATCAATTAAAACAATGATGGAATTGGAAAACCACAGTAACCACTTAGTGAGTCGAAGCCATGTTTTGTTTTTTTTTTTTCTGCATAAGAGATCTCAAATAATGAATATTGCAAACTCTGTCCTTGTTCAGGTCCATTCCTCATGTGGTATCTCAGATTCTTAGCTCATGGCTTTGAGAATATGGACAAACAGTCAGCCCTATAACAGATATATGAGTCTCCTTTTGGTGCATATGTAGGGATAAAGGACCCAGAAACTAGTACTCACTATGCTTACTAAATATGATAACTATGCTGGACATGTGGCATCTAGACACTCATTGAAATAACTGTGAATTTGAGGTATTATTCTCCATTGTCACATAAAGAAAATTTTGCTTACACAGTGGAAGTCATTCATGCATATTTGTGTACATTGATTGTTAAAATGTCTGGACCACTAGTCTGATATGTGTCAGTCTGAAGTCTATGTTCTTCCCAATTCATATGATATTGCACCATAGGCAATTCCTTACACTAAATTAGAGGGAAAATACACAACTGAATAAGTAATCAAATTGCTATTTGATGATCTGAGTTGGAACCCACCCCCAGATATGGATTGTGACATGTCCAGAGGACTTAATATTTGCTTACACATCTGAAAAATGGAGGAAACTATTACAGTGTATGAGAAGAGTAAATAAAGAAGTATGCAAGATATAGACACAAAACCCAAATTAAGGGCCTTTGTCTAAAATCAAGGGCCTTTGTCTAAAATGTCTGTAAGTGTAGGAAATGTGATGAGTATCAGAAAAAAAACCTACTAAAAGATTCTGTAGCCTCTAATCAAAGTCATACTGTATGAAGACCAATTGTTGACTAGGAAGTAATGGGTCAAATTACACTATCACTCAGTTTATCATGCAATTCCTGTCATTATGACTTTTCTTTAAATCAGAGAAGTTCAAAGTTACAAAGATTAAGATCACGTTCTCTATAATAAAATAAAAGTAAACAGACAATAAGACATACCCTTTCTTCTTTCCAAGCAAGCTTCCAGATCAGTAGAATTATTAACTAGAAGAAATGTGAACAAGTTCTAGTGAGTAATCATGGCTATTATTTGACATGCTGTGTGTGTGTGTGTGTGTTAGGATTCCACTCTGTATGCTGTGAATATGTTTTATTACCATTGGTTACTAAAGAACCTGCTTTGACCCGTGGCAGGGCAAAATATACTGAGGTGGAAATTCCAAGCAGAGACAGAGGAGAAAAGGAGGTGGAATCAGGGAAATGCCATGTAGCTGTCAAAGGAGAAAGATGCCAGAACCTTACTGGTAGGCCACAACCTCGTGGTGATACATAGATTAATAGAAATGGTTAAGATATAACCATACTGATGAATATTTTGCATATCACTATAGAACCTTCATCTGGCGATGGATGGAGATAGAGACAGAGACCCACATTGGAACACTGGACTTAACTCCCTAGGTCCAAACGAGAAGCAGAAGGAAAGAGAATGTGAGCAAGGAAGGCAAGATCAGAGGGAACCTTCACGCGTTGATGGATGGAGATTGAGACAGAGACCCACATTGGAGCACTGGACTGAGCCCCCAAGGTCCAAATGAGGAGCAGAAGGAGGGAGAACATGAACAAGGAAGTTAGGACTGCGAGGGGTGTGTTCACCCACTGATACAAGGGGACTGATCTAATGAGAGCTCACCAAGGCCAGCTGGACTGGGACTGAACGAGCACGTGATCAAACCGGATTCTCTGAATGTGGCTGGCATGGGGGCTGACTGAGAAGCCATTGACAATGACACTGGGTCTTGTTTCGTCTGCATGTACTGGCTGTTTGGGATCCTAGTCAGTTTGGATGCTCACCTTTCTAGACCTGGAGGGAGCGGGGAGAAACTTGAATTTCCCACAGGGCAGGAAACACTGACTGCTCTTAGGGCTGGAGAGGGAGGAGGAGAGGGAGTTGTGGGGGAGTGGGAGGGTATTGGGAGGAGGGGCGGAAGTGGAAACTTTTATAAATTAATAAAAAATAAAAATAAATAAATACAACTGTAAGTGGAGAAAATAAAAAAAAGATATAAGGGCTACACCTAAGCTGTTGGCCAAACTGCTTGAATTAATATAGTTTCTGTGTGATTATTTGGGTCTGGGTGACCGGGAAATGGAGAAACAGTCCCAGTTTACAAAATGGCTCCCACCATCTGGGGCATGGACGCACATAAGACCTGAAAAAAAGCTTTTTTTAAAAAAAGGGCTTCTAGGCCCACAAAAAATGGGAGCCAAGCACAGTTTGTTGGTAGCCACGGTTTTTTTTTTTGTTGTTGTTGTTTTTTTTTTTTTCTGATAGGCTGTGTTGGCAGAGATCAGAGGCACAGTTCCTTTAAGAGAAGGCTTCCTGACACAGAATTAGCAGCAAAAACTACATTGCTTCTTTAAGAGATGTGCTGGCAGCGAGAACTGGTCTGGCTCTTTGTAAGGTCCCACTCTTACATGGAGTTTGTAAGCAGCGTACTACTAATTGCTTAGTGGCAAATAGACCCACATTCCTTGACCTGGGGCAGTGAGCATGAATAGCAGAGGTGGTGTACATACCTCCACCATGTTGGATTGAGTGGAGCCAACAGGAAGGGTCATGGAGTTGGTCCTAGTCATGCCTACTTAGCATTATAAAAACAAACAAACAAGCAAAAAACCAAAAAAAAAAGTGCTTCTAGTCAGAAAATGGTTACAGATATACAATAAAGACAAATTCAGACAAAATTAACCTCTAAATGGCCATAGAGTAGTTTTTAAAATGTATGTAGGCTTGGGAGAGAGAGGAAAAAGAGTATAGATAAGAATACAGACAGTCATAGATTAAAGGAGTAACGGTAATAAAATAAATATTAAAAAGTAGTAAAGTTTAAAAAGTTACATAAAGATGGAAAATACACCAAAAGTCTCAATTATATATATTATTATATTTTCTTTGAATTTCAAGGAGACATTTTATTGTATGGGCTGCTAAGCTAAACCAACATATATGTTTTAAAGATATCTTGACTTCAAAATTTTAAGTCTAAGAATATGTTATTTTGGAAAGAGATTCTGCTTTTGTTTCCACAGAGTTGGGAACCTGTGGATTCCTTCCAGAATAATGTGGTTTGATAGAACAAGACCCTCTGAAAGGTTTCATGAACCCTAAAAATACTTTACCTAGCAAACAGCAGGAAGCAGTTTGGAGAAAACAATGCCCTAAATAATTCCTAAAATGATTGTTTATAATTTTTTTTCATTTAAAGTGGGATATGATATAGAAATAAGTAATTTGCACTAGTATGAATTTTGATCTATTGATACAAATTTATGGTCAATTTTGTTATAGGTATATTTCTACTTTTGTTTAAGGTATTATGCTTATACAGTTCATTTAAAAATGTAGAGTATAATTAAAAATTATGAATTAATAGATAGTCATCTATAATAGCCAAACTAGTCATGTTAGTTAGATTTTCTAGGAGTACAGAGGTGTATTTCAGATAGTAATTTTCAACATTTAAAACACCTACAGAATATGGCATTTAAAATATTTTAAGAACTTAAGCTTTTTTTGACAATGAGACATGTCTGCTTCTGGCAGCACCAATTACTTCAGAGAGATTGGTTGGCATTGAAGAAACCTGTTATGGAATTTGCCTTCAATGTGACAAGGAAATCTAGCCATTTGGGCAAGAAATTGTTCTTGCCTTGACTGCTTGATGGTATGCTATATGAGGTGGACATGCAGGACCCACAGAAAAATGACTGCTAAACTTACCAAAAGAAAGAGACAGTCCTTCAGGGTTCCTGCTTCATGAAAGAGTCTGCCAGACATTATGTAGGACACAGAGGAAAATGACTGACAAACTGCCAATGTAGGTAAAACAGCCTTTCAAGTTTTCTGCTTCATGGAAATGTCTGCCAGTTACTCTGTAGCCTGAGCCCAACATTACAGAAGATCTTTGGATGTGTGTCCAGGCAATGAGATGTCTCTGTCGATTCTAGAGTTTTGGAAGTTGCTTACAATGCACTTCCCCTCTGTATTCTGTGAATATATTTTATTACCATTGGTTAATGAAGAAGCTGCTTTGATCTATGGTAGGACAGAATATAGCAAGGCAGAAAATCCAATCTGAGATAGAAAAAGAAGATGGAGTTAGGCAGATGTCAAGTAGCTGCCAAAGACACCAGACCTTTACCAGTAGGCCGCAGCCTCATGGTGATACATAGATTAATAGAAATGGGATGATTTAAGATACAGCAAACTAGGAATACTCTTGAGTCATTGGCCAAACAGTGTTGTAATTAATATAGTTTCTGAGTGGTTATTTGGGTCTAAGTGGCCGAGAAACAGAAAAGCAGTCTCAATTTACAAAATGTGTGTGTGTGAGACAGAAAAAGAGGGAGGACGATGGGGGAAGAGAAATTGATCTCATCAGACAGAAGTGATAATGAAAGCTCATACTTGCAGACTGATAATTGCTATACCAGGCAATGTATGAAATGATTCACATTCATTGTATTTAATTCCACTGTAGGACTTAAATGAGTTAAATTCTGAATGACTCCATGTGTAAGAATGAATTAGGCTTTAAAAATATAGTCAAAAATCTTACATGATTTTTTTAAAACATTTCTTTGTTTGGGAAATAAATTCATTGCTAAAAATGCCTGTCTTGAAAATGTAACAATCTGAGTTTGATCCTCATAACACATATAAAAATGTTAGACTTGGGTACATTCTGGTAATCACTATACTGTATAGGCAAAGAAAGAAGAGCTGCCTTAGGCTAACTGGCCAGACAGTCTAGCTTAATTGGTGAGTTCCAGGCCAATACAAGACCCATCTTAAACAAAGTGTATATATACACATATGCACACATCAACTTGCATACTCTCTCTAACAGACAGACAGACAGACAAGCACACACATGAACAAATTTTAATGAAGCCTCTCTCGTTTATCTCAGGATAGTCTTGAACTTTTGAGTCTTCTGCCTCTATCTCTGAAGTGCTAGGATTACAGGCATGCCACATAATACTTACTTTGAGCATCTTAATTCTTGGCTGTTCTTAGCAAATGACTTTTTTTTTTTAACTAATAGCACCGAACATTCCATTGCAAGTCTTTCTAATAGTGGAAACATAAGAGAAAACTACTATTTTGTGAATAAATTTCAGAGAAATCATTTTTATCTGTAGTGATATGGAAAAAAAGATTGATTTAAAATGCCATTCAGTTTTTTCTTCTACATTTAGCAGTTGTTTTGTATTTGTTTGCTTTTTAACATTAATCCAAAGATGGTCGGAAGGTGAGATGATAGAGAGAAGAAAAACAGTTTCTCGTGAGGCAAAGGCAAGAGTAAACTAAAACTTACCATTTTCATGTCTCAGAACACTTTCTCTGGGATTAATAGTTGTGAAAGCTGAAAGAAATTAAAGTACTAGTTAGTTATTCATGTTTATTATTTAAAAGTGTGTGTGTGTTTGTGTATTAATACAAATGCAGTTTATATTAATTGACACAGAGACTGGAGAAGCCATATTTAAAAAATATGAGGCTTGCAATTCTCAGAATAATTGATGTTACTCTGAAATTCCATAGAAAACAGTTGTCACCTGTTTTTGCACACAAAGATTTCAAAGTTTGTGAAGTCTACATTACTTATTTTTTTTTTACCACACTTGCGATACTATATTCCAGATTGCCTGCTTTTCTTCTGTATTTCTACATCCAACCACAAAATTTGCCACAGAGCTGTACCAAAGGTTTGGCCACTGGAAGAAAGTACAAATTTGCCTGATTTTCACACTTCTGCACATTAGACTGCTATGTCGTGTTCTACCCACAGTGAATGTGTCTAACCTGAGAGTCAACAACAGAATCCTACACCCTTGGGATAGTCTGATGTAGACCATTTTCTATCTGCACAGAGGAAAACGGTCACAGCTTTCTAATCACTCATTGTCCCAAATTTTCCACTTTTGTGGTTGGTTGCTTGTAGACAAGCACATCTGTATTAATAAGAGCTGCTGTCTGTCCTGTGATCACTGCTATACCAGGAACTGGCTGAATGCATCCTAAGCATCGTCTGTAGGTCCATATTTCTATATGGTATGACAGTCAGGCTCTGAAGCCATAGGCCCCATCTGAGGTGGTCACATAGCCCTGCAGACAGGCTGCCACTGCCCTTATAAAGGGTCAGGATGTTGTTGCTCCTTTCTTTGTAATTTGGAGGATGCCTGATAGAGATGCTAATTCAAACCCACCTGAAAGCTAACATACAGGTAGTTGTGGACCTGACTGGAAGCTATTCACTTAGTTACCTAGGAAACAGAATGCTAATGTATTTTCCCCCCTTGGTGACGTTTTTTGGTATAAAGACTGTTTGGAGAATAAAGCAGGAGGAATTCTTCAGCATGTGAACTCAGGACTTCATGAGGGATCCCTCCTGATAAAACCATGTGAGTTGTGTCTTTATTTCCGCACCTCCACTTCAGTCCAGAGAGATAATTTGTGTTGGGATTTGGTTGAGAGAAATAATTTAAGGTACTGGATAGCACCGGACCCCGACAATCATCATACTTTATTCTTTGGTAACACTAAAGTGAGTTGGATTCTAGATAGCCTAACTATAAATTAAAATTTAAAGTGCTTATGTATAGTGTGGATTTAATAGATAGGATATATGGGAGCTATTTTATAAATATCGTCAAACTTGTGAAGCTCTTATAGTTTTCAATCAAAATAACAACTATCTAGAATACCTGTTTGAGAAAATATTATATTTATGTATCAATAAAGAAAAATAAGAATGAACACAAACTCACAAATTCTAGTAAATGATCAAGCAAGAGATTAAACCCAAGAAACCATGGGACAAGAAAAACAGCTAAGTTAAAATGGGAAAATTAACTATGTACTCAAAATGTTTAAAAAGTGTACTCATTGAAATTATAGAACATTATCAACCCAAGGAAAGATACAGACTTCCAAGTACAAGAGGTACCTAGAACCCCAAATACATGCATTCAGAGAAGAACCTCTGCACAGCACACTAAAGCTAAGATATGAGCACTACAATAGAAGGAATCCATAGAGGGCTGAGGTCACGGAGGCAGATATATCAGGATTTCAGAACTCACAGCAGGTACCTTCCAAAACAAGGAAAAAGTCCAGTGATAAATTTCAGAACTTAAAAAAACTGCTAATGTAGATTGACAGCTTCCTTAATTAATGTCATCATGGAACCTTCATCCAGCAACTGATGGAAGCAGATGCAGAAATCTAGAGGAGCACTGGGCTGAGCTTCTGGGGTTCAGTTCAGTAGAGGAAGGAATGGTGATATAAGCAGAGGGATGGAGACCGTGGTGCTGATACCCACAGAAACGGCTGACATGAGCTAGTGAGAGCTCACTGACTCTGGACTGATAGCAGGGAACCTGCATGGAGCTAAGCTAAGCACACTGAATGTGGGGGACAGTTGTGAGGCTTGGGCGGTCTGTGGGGCCACTGGCAGTGGGACCAGGATTATCTCTAGTGCTTGATCTGGCATCTTCGAGCACATTCTCTTTGGAGGGATACCTTGCTCAATCTAGATATGGGGAGTGGGGAAGGGCCTTGGTCTTGCCTTGAAGTGATATTCAGACTTTTTGACTTCTTATGGAGGACCTTACTGCTTCTGGGGAGTCGATGGAAGAAGGTGAAGGGAATGGTGGGGAGGGAGGAGGGAGGGAATAAGAACTGATCAGGGATGGCTGTGTGGAATAAGAAAAGACTGTATTAAAAAATAAATAAAATAAAAATAGCAAGAGAAAAAACTGCTGACAATATGTGCAACTGTATTGAGGAAATGGCATCTGAAAAATCAGTGGAGAAGCAAAGACCTTTTAAAAAGTGCATAAAATCAAGCACTTTGTGGCCACCAAGTCAGCACTGTAGGAGGTGCTTTAAATCAAACCACACACACGAAAGAGGAAGTAGGACAATATCAACCATAGAGAACAGTGAAGAAGAAATATCACAAGGAAAATATATGAACAAAGAAAAGCCAGCTACCGACAGCTCAGCAACACAGAAAGTTCCTAATAAAAACAGAACAGCAACACAGAAAGTTCCTAATAAAAACAGAAGAGGAAGAAAAGGAGCAATTACTTCTAACATGCATGAAAGTGGTGTCATAAAACCTATTGTTTTGTACACTAACAATAAAGGGGGGTTCTGAATTGTGTGTAATTGCAGGTCATGGACTACAGCTACAACGCCTTTTGATACGAGGCACTTCATCTTTTTCTAGATGAGTAACCCTTTGCCCGCAAGACCCCAATTTATTATCCTCCAAAATGAACTATCCTATAAAGAATACATTGTTTTCTATTTATTTCTGTGCATGTTTCTGTAGCCACATTCTGGGGAGAGACAAGCCTGTGTAGTTTTTTTTAAGTGTCTGATTCTCTGAATTGAAATTGAGGTATTGGTTTTATTTATCAATGTTTATAAGCAATGCTAGAATAACTTGATATCACTGTTTTCCCAGTCATTAAATGATGGGCGAATGGATGTGTAGTGGGGTGGTTGGATGGATGGATAGATGGGTGGATGGGTGGGTAGATGGTGGGGTGGTTGGGTGGTTGATTAGATGGATGGAAGAATGGATGGATGGATGGATGGATGGATGGATGGATGGATGGATGGATG